CTCTCTCCTGGGGCCTCTGCGTGGCTCAGTCAGTTAAGCATCTGACTTCGGCACAGGTCATGATCTGGAAGTTTGAGTTCAAGCCCCACATTGGGCTCTATGCTGACAGCTCAGAGCCTGGAGCCTGCTTCAGATTCTGTCTCCCTCTCTCTGTCCCTCTGCTCTCCCACTTGTTCTCTCTCTCTCTCTCTCTCTCTCAAAAATGAGTAAAACATTTAAAATATTAAAAAAGAAAGAAAGAAAGAAAGAAAGAATGAAAGAAAGAAAGAAAGAAAGAAAGAAAGAAAGAAAGAAAGAAAGAAAGAAAGAAAGAAAGATCCTCTCTCCTGAGGCGACTGGGTGGCTCAGTTAAGCGTCTGATTTTGGCTCAGATCATGATCTCCCAGTTGGTGAGTTCAAGCCCTGCATCAGGCTGTTTGCTGTCAGCACAGAATCTGCTTTGGATCCGGTCTCCCTCTCTCTCTGCCCCTCCCCCACTTGTGCTTGCTCTCTCTCTCTCTCAAAAATAAATAAACATTTAAAAAAATAAGATTCTCTCCCTCTTTCTCTGTCCCTCCTCCCTGCTCATGTGTGCACATGTACACTCTCTAAAATAAAAATGAATAAAATATAAATTTATATTGGGAAAACTTTGGTAGAAAGAAATTAAAAGGCAGACCCCAAAGCTAACCTTTCACTCTAAAACTGCTTTGTGAAAGAAAAGGAGAGCAGCCTTACAAGTCATCTCAGCAAGCCCTTAGGTCCCTCCGAACCTACAGAGTCCTAATCTCATGAGTCACTGGAAACGGCCACCCTGGAATCTGTAAGTGCTACTCCACTTCCTTCCTTCATGAGGATCTAGGAGGTCAAACAATGACCACAATTTCAAGGCCTCCCAACTCGTGGGAGATCAACATGGTCATTTCTCATGGTCAGGGGAAGAGACATAAATACTAAGTGAAAGAACCCACAGAAATGTTCTCTGACCTCTGAAAGTAAATATTCTAGAGGGCTTGTCTGGCTCCATGGGAAAGGGGCAGGATCAGATCACTCGATGCCCTCTGCCAGGGGGATTGACAAGCAGGGAGAGCTGGGAGAGAAAGCAGAGCAGGGTGACATGAGCAATGCATGTGACAGAAATAGCCCCTGCCCCAAGCCCGTCAGAGCCGAATGTTAAAACCTGGTAAATTACAAGTGCAAAATTAAAGTGACTTGTTCAGTCCCTTAACGTAAGCTGACGCTGAACACAGAGAAGTAGAGGACAGGGAAGTCACTAGGGTGCCCAGTGATCAGCAGGCCTCGCTCACTCCTTTTCCGTGATTCCTTTCCCGCCCCGGCATAACCTGAGCAAGCTGTCAGTGGTGCATCTGTGACCCTGAGGGTGTGCTGTACACCTGGAAACATGGCCTTGACCCACGGAATCTGGCTAGGAAAGGGCTCGGGACAAAGCCTCACAAAACTGACCAAACCAAACAAAGCTTGGGGCGCCTGGGTGGCTTAGTCAGTTAAGCGTCCGACTTTTGCTTAGGTCATGATCTCGTGGTTCGTGGGTTCGAGCCCCGCGTCGGGCTCTGTGCTGACTGCCAGCTCAGAGCCTGGAGCCTGTTTCGGAGTCTGTGACTCCTTCTCTCTCTGACCCTCTCCTCCTCACGCTGTCTCTCTCTCTCTCTCTCTCTCTCTCCTAGAAATAAAAAAAAAAAACATTAAAAAAAAAAACAAAGCTCAAAGGGAGTGTTTTTTCAAACAACACTAACCTTGTGATCTTATCAGACATTTAAAGTCCAAAGATTAATGAAATACTAAGTAGGCAAAAAAAAATGCAGGCGGCTGGGGAGTGGGAAAAAAAACCCAGACTGGCTTTGTCCTAGCAGATGCAACAGTCAGGTTCTCTGTGAAAACGCCTGGACTGAAGCGAAAGTCAAGATTTAAAACGGGTTAAGTTGTTCCCTTCACAAATCTGAAAAGCGTAAGCTAGCTGGGGGAATCATCATGCCCATGAACTAGCCAGTCACGTGGCTCTGGGCTGGGCACTGCTCTGCCTACCTCAAAGGCACAGGAGACTGGACTCCACGTGACTCAGGCCAGTGTTTACACCTTGACCCTAACCGGAATACAGGGTTATGGACTTCAAAGTCTAGAGCTCACCCACCCTCCAACCCAGCATCCCTACTTCTAGGAAGGGATTTATGAGAAAAACCAGCAGCCGGGTGCAAAGTCACATCTGTGATGCTGCAGCCATGCTTATCACCGGAGAAACTGTGACGTGAATGCTCGCTGGTAAAGGAAGGATTAAATAGAGTAAGGCGCATTCATGGTATACCTTGCAGGTGTTCAAAAAGAGGGGAGGGGATCTGTAAGCGAGGAGACAGGGGACTATCCCCGATGCACAAAGTGGGGACGACAAATTGCAGAATGATATGTAGTGTGATCCCGTTGTTTAAGTGTGTACGTTGTCAAAAAGAAAACCACAGACCCAAAATGGAGTCACGTACGGAAGGCCACGCCACCGGCAGGGGTGGGGTTAACACCTAACCTAAATGCAGTTTAAACCTCCCCGAGAAATGTAGTCTTAACCGGTCAGTCAGGAATTTTCTGGTCAGCAACCAGCCTCTTCCTCCAAAGCTAAGGTAATCTGCAGGTAATACCTCCACTCTTCCCCAGGGAAAATGACTTTGCCTGAAGCAATCATTTCATTTGCTAACAACTTCCCTGTCCGACCCTCCTGCCTTTAAAAACCTTCCATTTTTACAATTCCTCGGAGCATCTCTCTACTTGCTAAATGGGGTGCTGACCAGTTGAATTTCATTTTTTAACCACATACATATGTATACACTTAAATGCCCAGAGATGCACTGCAAAAGATTCCAGAGGACATGTGCCAAAGTGAGTGCAGCTGAGGTCTGGGGGGCGGGGGTAGCGGGGAGACCGGGGGGAGACCAGTGTTTTTAGCTTATACACTCCTGGATTGTTAAGAACTCTCATTCTTAAAAATGAGACTTTGCGATTTGAATGTATGTAAATATAGATAGTGTATATAAATATATAAAATCAACTAGACCTCCCTGGGCATCTTTAGTTCTCTTTTGCTGAATCAGAAAATCCCAATTACTGGGAAAGGAAAGAAGGCCTGGAGGAGTGAACACTCCCCTTTCCCCAGAAGTGTTTGCTATTTCCCCCTCGTTTAGCTGACACGTCAGGCCATATTTGTATTCAGTTCTGATTCATCAAAAATGAGGAGAGGGCATGAGGCAGGCTGAGGGGCAAAACACAGCTAGCACCCTCATCCCCACCCCCCACCCCACCCCGTCCAGGTGGGACAGGTATGATATTGCTTGGACACTCTAGGCTGGCTACTCAAAACCAGGACAGGACCCAAAAAAGGTTAAACTGGTAAGAATGCCACCAGTTTACCAGAAAAAGGCCTAAAGTCCAGGAACTCCCTACTGTCTTAGCGTTCATGCTTTGCTAGAGGGAAAAACAACCTTAGCTTGACAATAAATAGCCAGGCTGCCAGTAAGTCTTTAACATGTAGAAGTCTCTTTGGGAAACTCCCTCCTGGATTTTATCTCCATAAAACAGTCACCCCCACCCCCCCACCCCCAGTGCACCTCCTCTTGCCCACGGGTCCTGTCCCGGTGCTTTCATAAAATCACCTTTTTGCACCAAAGACATCTTCAAGAATTCTTTCTTGGCAGTCGGCTTCGGACCCCACGAACCCCCCATCACCCCAAAACTTCATCAAAAAATAATTCATTTTTGTAATTTAGAGAGAGAATGTGAGCAGGGAAGGGGCAGAAAGGGAGAGAGAGAATCTTAATCGGACTCCACGCTGATTGAGCCCCGCCATTCTGAGCCAAAATCAAGAGTCGGACGGACACTCAACTGACCAAGCCACCCAGGTGCCCCAACAGTTAATTTTTGAAGCAGGATTCGCATTAGCACAAAGACAAAACAGGAACTGCGGAGCAAATCCAAATGGTTTGGAAGCCAGCTCAGCCCAGCCCAAACAGGCTCCATCTAAGTCTGGGGCCAGTATCAGGCACTGACAGCCAACAGCTTCCTTGGCCAAAGTCTCATTGGTATGTCTTTCCAACCCCACCCATGTTGGACCCGTTTCTGAATATATTAGTTATCTCTAATTCATCCTGCCCTTGCTTCCAAATGGATGGGAGGCAGTACCCAAATAGTTGATGGAGCAAAGCTTTTAACATGGGAATTGTGATGCAGTTACGGTAAGAATGAGGAAGAAGTAAAAATGTCACTTTAAGTATAAACTCCTGATACTCATAAGCATATTTAATTTTTGGTTGATATACACTAATGCTCCTTCAGATCTATACTGTAAAACCAAGGTATAAAACAATCAGGAAAACAACCCAGAAGGACAGCGCTACAATATCCACTGCTACTGACTCAGACAATAAATCTAAATTCAGCAAGCTTTCCCATGCTCTTCAGAGGCCACGGGCCTTTTTCTAAGCCTTTCTCTTATTTCTTATATATGTCTAATCAATCTTCTGGCACACACCTAGCTTGCTGGCACAGTGGCTTGGCAATCTTTGATGACTAGCTCAAAAGGTGGCATGGAAGTGCTTAGAGCTCATATTTGGAGTCATTCACATCTGGATTCAAATCCCCACCATGCCACTCACGGCTGTGTGACCTTGGATGAGTTACTTAACTTCTCTGGTCCTCCACTTTCTTATAGGGGGAAAGGAAGAATTTTTTTTTTTTTTAGTTTTTTAAATGTTTATTCATTTTTGAGAGAGGGGGGGAGAGAGAGAGTGCAAATGGGGGAGGGGCGGACAGAGAGGGAGACAGAATCTGAAGCAGACTCCAGGCTCTGAGCTCTCAGTACAGAGCCTGATGTGGAGCTTCAACTCATGAACTGTGAGATCATGACCCGAGCTGAAGTCAGATGCTCAACCAACTGAGCCACCCAGGTACCCCAGAAAGGATTCTTAGCAGTGCCTGTTTCATAGGGTGAGGATGAAATCAGATAATGTACTTGCTGCACTTACCAAGTGTGCAATAAAAGTTAAGTGTGACCACTGGCTGAATTCTTGGAACTTTTTTCTTCAAAATCTAAGAACAATGAAAGACACAAAAAATTGTATATTTTCAAAGAAAAGCTCGATTGGATGGCTGCTTATACACATGTATATGTCCCAGAGCAAAGAGAGAAAAGCAAAACTTGCCATTCTCCAAGGATACACAAGACCACTGCATCTTTTGGGCACCTGGGTGGCTCAGTCGGTTAAGTGTCTGAATTTGGCTCAGGTCGTGATCTCACGGTTCGTGGGTTTGAGCCCCGTGTCGGGCCCTGTGCTGACAGCTAGCTCAGAGCCTGGAGCCTGCTTTAGATTCGTCTCTCTCTCTCTGACCCTCCCTTGCTCATGCTGTCTCTCTCTCTCTCTCTCAGAAACAATAAAACATTAAAAGAAAAAAAGACCACTGCATCTTCAGCTATAAAAAATATCCGTGCAAAACTATAAACACTGCAGCAAAGATCTCTGGCCAAACAGAATATGGTACAGGTACAGAAAATGCACATTGGACTAGCTATTCATGATTGACTGCATGAGAAACAGAAATGTAGGAGATGTGCACTAACAATACTGTGTCTTAAATCCTAGTATATTACAACTGCTTCCAAGGCAGCCTTGTTATGAACATGGTTTCACACCAACAGCTCTGTATGAGCCTTTCCCACATCTTAGGGGCCAACAATACTTGGCCTTGTTGAAGACCATCGATAAGTTTCCCTTTAGGCTTCCATTTTCCAAGTTAAGTATCCTCAGGTATTTAGTATCCTCTTGCTAACCAGGATTAAAAAAAAAAAAAAAAAGATTTAAACAGGTACCTTTTCAGAGTCTCCAAATGAGCAGAAAACACAGACAGTAATAAAAATAGCTACCATTTCTGAATGTCAACTATGTGCTGGAATTGTGCTGAGTATATTATGTGTACTACCTCATTTAATTCCTACAGTCACCCGTTTTATAGATGAAGAGGTCAAGGCTTAGAGAGGTGAAGCCGCTTGCTCAAAGTCCCCGACGTGTCTGGGGACAACAAGCCCACCTGCCTCGTTAACCACCACTCACTTTTCAGATCTCGGCTCCACTCTCACTAACCCCCTCCAGCAAAGTCAAGTCCCCTACTTCCCCTGCACGTTGTCTTCCTCTGTCATTCTGAGCGCAGTGATAGTTTTACCCTTATTTGTGTCAATACTGAATGAATGTCTGTCTCCCCACCAAACTGTAAGCTCAGGGATAGCAGAGCTCCTCGCTGTGCCCGTTTACTTAGGGTCCCTGCCCTCCGACCCCAGTACCAAGCACATAATGGGTTCTCCATAAACATTTACACCCATTGCGTGAATAAGGGGGAGAAAACCGTGCTCAGAAATCAGCAGCCGCTTGGGCACTGCACCAAGCACAGGCAGTCCCGGGTTCGTCCGTGTGTGGGCACCACAATGCCACCTGCCCGTTCTGAGGGGCAAGATAACTGCAAGAATTGGAATGAGCAGAACCGGAAGGGGACCTCAAGCACAAAACCACCCAGGGGGGAGACACAGCTCCATCTTCCCATTTGAAAGAAGACAGTACAAGAGATGGACTCTTTATCGACCCAATTAATACATTACTACTAATAAATCATGTTTCTGATTCATTTTGGTCACCTCTTTCCACTATATATGCCTTATTTCTGTTTCAACTCTTTTTTAATTAAATGTTTAAAGATCCTGTTTTTAAGTAATCTCTGTACTCAATGTGGGGCTCAAACTCACAACCCTGAGGTCAAGAGTCTCATGCTCCACCGACTGAGCCAGCCAGGTGTCCCCTCTGTTTTGACTCTTTTTCGTGCTATTTTAATCTGCTTTCTAGTCCCTTCCTTGAATATCTTTTTTCTCAAATACTTGAAGCAGAATCACATGCCATTCACAGGCTATTTTCTTAACACTCAGCTACGAAACCAAAAGCGACTGGAAATAAAGGAAACTGGATACACAACAAAAAGGAGTTATTAAATCTCAACATTTCTTTGTAAGTCACTGTCACAAGGAAAATCCCAATGGTTTCAGCGTAAAATTTTTGTGTCTTTTTTTAAGTAGGCTCCAAGCCCAACATGGGACTCAAACTCACAACCCCAAGATCAAGAGTCGCGTGCTTTACCGACTAAGCCAGCCAGGCGCCCCTGAGCAAAATCTTTTAAGTAAACCATAGAGCTCCATCTCATATTATACTCATTTACAATACGAAAATGTTAAACAGTAGAAGCATTAAGTCATTCACGAGAATGGAAAACACATCCACATGAAGCTATTTTAGTCCAATAAGACCAAAAAGGAATAACTTTTTATTTATTTATTTATTTTTTAAAATGTTTTTTATTTATTTCTAGGAGAGAGAGAGAGAGAGAGAGAGACAGCGTGAGCAGGGGAGGGTCAGAGAGAGAGGGAGTCACAGACTGAAACAGGCTCCAGGCTCTGAGCTGGCAGTCAGCACAGAGCCCGACGCGGGGCTCGAACCCACGAACCGTGAGATCATGACCTAAGCGAAAGTCGGACACTTAACCAACTAAGCCACCCAGGTGCCCCAGGAATAACTTTTTTAAAGAGAAAATTACATTTGCTTCCTGTCAAAAAAATCAGGTGTTTGAAGGGCTCAGGATCTGATTATCAGTCTGATGATAGTTTTGACTTTGTAATTTTTTTTTATGTCTATACCACAAGTGAATACTGAGCTTTAAGAGGATAGAAGAAGTAGAGACAATCCAGAGAGGGGGTTTTGTTACACAACTGCTCAAGAAAAAAAAAGGAAAAAGGAAACTTAGTCCCACTGATTTAGCAGAGCCCCAAATTCATGAAAGGTCTACATGATTTAACCCTTTTTTAATATGCAGTCTTACCCTGCAATCCAGCAGTTGCACTACCAGATATTGACCCAAAGGATACAAAAATACACCCTGATGCTTATAGCAGCACAGCATTATCAAGAACAGCCAAACTACAGAGAGAGCCCAAATGTCCACGGACCGATGAATGGATAGAGAAGACGTGGTACATATATACCACGGAATATTACTCATCCATCAAAAAAGAATGAAGTCTTGCCATTTGCAATGACATGGATGGAGCTAGACTGTATTATGCTAAGTGAAATAAGTCAGAGAAAGACAAATACCCTATGATTTCTCTCTTATGTGGAATTTAAGAAACAAAACAGATGAACCAATGGAAGGGGGTAAAAAGAGGAGAGAGGGAAACAAACCACAAAAGATTCTTAATGATAGAGAACAAACTGAGGGTTGATGGAGGGAGGTGGGTGGGGGATGGGCTAGATGGGTGCTGGGCATTAAGGAGGGCGCTTGTTGGGACGGACACTGAGTGTTGGACCTAAATGATGAATCACTGAGGTCTACTCCTGAAGCCAATACTGCGCTGTATGCTGACTAAAATTTAAATAAGTTTGAATAAATATGCAATCTTTCCAAGTATAGAATTCCCCTGAACATTCTTTTCAGAGAGTCACAGATACAGCAGCTTCTCCGGGCCTGGCAACCGTGAAGAGCCCAGTTATGCAAGCTCTTAGTCAAGGAAATTTGCTGCCTGCGAGTGAAACAATAGCCCTGGGGAGGCAGGTGGCCTACAGGTTATAACACCATCAAGTATTTACTGCAAGAACCAATTCTAGAGAGCTGCTGTGTGACACTGCGCTCGTCGTTAACAAGACCGCGTGGCACACTTAAAAATCTGTTGAGAGGGTAGATCTCATATTAAGTGTTCTGACTACAATATAAAAAAAAAAGATCAGGTATCTGCTAAGTGGATCTAGTTAGCCACACAAAGGCTGGGAGAGAGAAACTGCACGGTCCCCAAAATGCCACAAGCAAGGAGGTTCTTTGCTCTGCACCCCTTCTGTGCATGTGCGCGCGCACACACACACACACACACACACACACACACTTCCTCCTCTTGCCAGTTAACTTCTACATCTTGATTCCTGTGTGTGCTTCGTGCATCTTTCTAATATAAATACTCGGCCCTTGGGGCACCTAGGTGGCTTAGTCGGTTAAGCGTCCGACTTTCGCTTAGGTCATGATCTCGCGGTTCGTGGGTTCGAGCCCCGCGTCGGGCTCTGTGCTGACTGCCAGCTCAGAGCCTAGAGCCTGTTTCAGTCTGTGACTCCCTCTCTCTCTGACCCTCCCCTGCTCACGCTGTCTCTCTCTCTCTCTCTCTCTCCTAGAAATGAATAAAA